TCACTGAGTAAGAGTATGTCGCAAAAAGCAAAACAAACAACACACCAAAAGCGACAAGACACTCACTCGTACTACGAAAAAGAGGGAAATGACTACATGTCAAATACAGTTGACAGTTGTTGATACTGTGTACACATTTAATAATGTGTTATAAATACCACATCGTCTAAATCAATGGATATGCAGTTTGAAAAAGAAATATTTCGTGTCATATTTATAAAAAATAATAAAATGATCGCAGAAGGCAATGAACATGGAGGGCTGTACAAATTTAATTTTAAGTCAATTGCAGCAGCGTTTGCGGGACCTAATGTCATTTGTTCTGACTCAATTAAACTTTGGCACGAAGCAATAGGGCACGTAAATTTTAAAACGTTGCGAAAAATGATTAACAAAAATATTGTTCCAGATTTAAAGATTGGATCTATGCCATTTTGTAAAGGCTACATAGCATATACGGCAAACAGCATAGGGAATTTTTTCCAAAAACAGTTGAAAACCGTGTGCGGCATGCTTCTAAACTTTTCATGTAAATGGAAAAAATGTATGGAAAAATGAGTACGCCGTCAATTGGTGGAGCAAACTATTTTATGTTGTTGAAAGACGACTACTCCAGATATTGTTTTGTAAATTTTTTGAAGAAGAAGACTGAAGTAATTATCAAGCTTATGCAGTTTTTTGCGGATGTTCAATCTGGTGGACAAAAATTAAAAGATTACGTTCAGACGTTAGTTTAGCATTTTGCAGTGATGATGTCGAAACTATCTACAGTACAGCATTAAACATGAAATTGCTACGCCGAAATCACCAGAACAAAATAGTTTTATCGAACGTCAAAACAGAACTACTGTTGAAAGTGCCAACGCCATGTTGCATGAAAGAGAGTTTTCACTATATCTGTGGGGTAAAGCAACAAATACAGCAGTTTACGTTAACATCAACTGAAGCTCTAGAAGGTTCTAAACCGTATGAAAAATGCATTGAAAAGAAACCTACAGTTAAACCTTTACAGGTTTTTGGCTATGACGCATTTGTTTTTATTTTCAAAGATCAACGCAAAAAAAAAAACAAAATAACAAAATAATAATTTCAGTAGACAATTTAGACAAAACCAAAACAAAGAATTTAGTGGACAGTATAGACTGTAACGGCCCAATTCTTGCGGTCATATAAAAATTAGGGTTACATAATTTGCGCGACCCTTATTATTTGTTCAAAGAAATAAAAAGCAAAACCAATATATTTTTACAACAAGCATGGAATGATCATGTAAACATACAAAAACAATTCTTAGGTGGAAAAAATGCACAAGTGGAGTAAACAAGTCAACAAAGGCAAAACTAATATATTTTTCAATAAGCATGAAATGGTCACTTAAACATACAAAAACAATTCTTTGAGGAAAAAAGCACAATTGGAGTAAACAAGCAAGTAACCGAAAACTAAATGTTTTTTTTTTGCAAAACATGTAAAAACAATTAGTGGATGAAGAAATGCACATTTGGCGTAAACATGCCAGATAGCGGAATTAAAAGCGTCAACAAGATCGAATAAAAGGGGACGAAGTTGTGAAATCGATCTCTTTTTGGAAATCACCTTCGAGCAGTGTGGCCGAGTTTTTTTTTTTTTTTGAATTACCACCCGTGAGCAGAACAGACGAGGTTGGGGCAGAGCTGACAACAATTATAGCACAATCGCAGGATACCGATCTGGGAGCTTTAAAAGTTGCCAGAGAGAGAACTTCCATAGGAGGCTTCAAAAATACCCTATGGGAAATCTCGGTAGAAGGTATTATCTAGCACGTGGTGGTGACGGATCCACGAAGATCAAGAAATACTAAGAAATTGGGTAACAAGGGAAGAGTCATGAAATCTTGGTAAGCACGTTCCAATATATATTTATATTTATTATTTTATGTGTGTTATACGGGAGACGCATAGATATATAAAATCAAGCCTCTTGTGTTTACAAACAGCTTGTGCTTCAATAAATTCAGTGTGCTGGGGAATCATAGTTACAACTCCATATTCCTGCGTCTACAGCTTAACTCGCATTAGTTAAAAATTCTGTGCTTAGCTTCTTCGAAAATCACACTCTACGAATATTGTATCCTGTATTTACTAACAGCTTGTGTTTCAATAAATTCAGTGCGCTGGGGAATCATAGTTATAACTCCGTATTCCTGCGTCTACAGCTTAACTCGCGTTAGTTAAAAATTCAATGCTTAGCTTCTTCGAAAATCACACTCTACGAATATTGTATCCTGTGAACCCTGGTGATGTACATAAAATATAAACTATAACTAAATTAACTTGATTTACATACATTGAACAATATAAAAATTCTATTTATTTATAAAATTTGTTTATTTACTTTATATAAACATTATTTCTAAGGAATATGATGCATAACTAAATTATCTTGATTTACATACATCAAGCAATGTAAACTCTATTTATTTATAAAAATTTGTTTATTGACTTTATATAAATATTATTTCTATGTAAATAATTAAATTTGAATAATATATATAACAACAATAAAGAATAAGTTCGATACAAAGGTTAATGTGGTTTTTGAGTAAAACAGTGATTAGGTACGAGTAAATAATCAGGAATTACGCTGTGAATCGAAGTCGAGCCCAAAAATACAAATGATCTTGTAAGAACCTTGGACATTGCTGAACTATCCCAGCTATAGACTGCCCCACGTAAAGGGGTTCATTACAAGACACAGCCAAGTTTCAAATTTCAGACAAACAAATTCGATGCAAAGTCATCGAAATAACTCAACTCCAATGGAGGTTGACTATGTACAGGACAATAAACAAATTCCCAAAGAAGAACACTATGTGACATCGGAACATTTCTACCGATTGTTGAATTAACTATAAAAGAATAAATGCCTAAAATAAAATGCCTAATTGACACTGGTTCGACAACCACCCTACTTGACAAAAACAAATTGTTGAATTACAAACGCCAAAAACTAAAAACTACAATTCCTTTACTACACTTAATGGACAAACCACCATTAATGAAGGAATAGTAACACCTCTGCCAAATGAATTCAACGAAAATAATTTTATTAGTCGACAACTTACAACGTTTATAAAAGCAAATTTATTTATTAGTTTGCGAAGACATGAATTTAGAAAAAAAAACATAAAATTAAAAATTTATTTGAAAGGAATATAGAATATATATAAGAATATATAAATAAAACATGTTTTAAATATTTAGACGATATACTTATTTTTAGCACAAGTCTAGATGAACACATTACAAGCATTCAGAAAGTATTTGACAAACTTTAACAATATAATCTAAAAATTCAAATTGACAAGTGTAATTTTTTTTTCTAAAACAACTGAATACTTAGCTCATGTATTAACACCGGAGGGGATAAAGCCGAATGCAAGTAAAATTGAAAGCATTCAACTGCTTAAATTACCCGATATTCCAAAACAAATAAAATCATTTCTTGGTTTTACTGGATACTATAGAAAATTCGTGAAAGAATATGCTAAAGAAGCTTACGGTATGACTTGATATTTAAAGAAGGGTACAAAATTAAGTTAAAAAGACCCGTAATAAATTGATGATTTCGAAAAAGTTAAAAAATTATTAACAGAGTCCCCTATCTCAAGATATCCTAACTTGGAAAAATAATTTAAATTGTGTAAGGACGGAATTTTTACATTAAAATTTTCACCCTACATAAGAAAGTAATACAAGTCCGAACCGGCGACATCTGCGAACACAATATAAAATTTAAAATTGTATTATAAAAATTAACTGAAATAAACAAATACCTTGAATATGAATATTACTTTTATTTATTTATTATAACTTTCTTTTTAATTTACAAATTAAAATTTTGCAAACATAAACACACTTTCTAGCGAACGTCAAACTAAAACAAAATGTGGAGCGGCTAAAAGAAGAGTACAAGAACCCACCAGTGAAGTACACATCGCAGTCCCACCTATGCCACAAACCATTGAACAAGTAAGGAAGTGGGCTATCAAATATGATGGGGGCAAGGACCCAATAATGTTCATCGAGCGAATCGAAGAATTGGTAGAAGTCTATGGGTTAAATAATAACACCATGCCACGCACTATGCCCGAACTCTTAAAGGACAAAGCGTTGATCTCATACAGAAACAACAATAAACAATGGAAACTGTGGATCACCGTTAAGTCCGACTTTCTTAAATTTTTCCCACCAGCAAGGTATTTTGAGAAATTAGAGGATGAGATCCGTGCGCGCAGACAAAAACAACGAGAGCCTTTTAAAGACTATGTTGTCACTATACAGAATTTAATGCGACATGCCGGAATCAATACTAGTCAGCAATCTGGAGGAACTGGTAGCATTGGCCGAAGACTTTGAGCTATTACGCCTCGAACAGGGAAAAACCACTCTTAACAGGCCAAGTGAGGAACGTAACCATACAATGAAAGTCCAGAACATGAAAATAGATAATCCCAAATTGGCCTGTCGCCGCTGTGGACAATGCGGACACATTGCTAGTAGATGCTAAGGACGCCCAATTCTATTCTGTTAAGAGTGTGGCATCAAGAATATCCGCACCATTCACTGCTGCCGAAAATATTCGGCAAACGAAAACCAGAAGCAGCTCGACCACGATGTAAAATTATTGAGAGTCATCCACCGAAGAACCTAAACAATATAAAAGATAAAAAGATCAACGGAAAAAACGCAATCAATACTAACCTTAGCACTAAAAATAAATACAAAACCCACGCCTTGGATATCGGTAAATCAGTTCCGTACATAACACCGGCCGATAGGAGAAATAAACCAAGAGCTGCTGGTTGGCGAATCGAATGCTCCACACCTATCAAAACCCAAGCAATGGAAATGCAGTTGCCAGCAGTCAAATTGGCAGAACAACTGCTAATGGATATTGACAATGATGGAGTTATAGTCTAGCGCCCAGGTTAGTCGACGAGCCTCAACTCCGTAGTCATTATGTTCAAACCACCACCACAAATAATACACGAAGCTTCCACATCGACAACTGCAGACGAGGTATTACAACGGATGTTGAAATTTGTCCGCCGGACAAATACCACAAACACCGGAGAGCACCACTTCGCTAACATTAATGCTCGCTCTACGCACTGTACTGACGTGTTAGTGGATATAACCTGACCACACACAATATCCCGTTGTGTGCAAATTCTATTAATGTGTTCACGCCAACCCAAGACTCCGTGATATCAAGCATGACCTCGAGAACCCATAAATGCCAAATATATTTATGAGGTCAGATTTTTGACTGGCATGCTCAAACATTCATGAATTGTTGTTAA